CCACCAAAAAAAAAAAAAAAACAACAAAAAAAAGCACACAACTCTCCCCCCTTTCCCTTCAGTCACTCCACTGAGAGTAAAAAGCTCGGAAGCTGTTTAACCCACACAGAGACAGCAGCGTCCCCATTCATTCACAGGCTGCTCTGGCTGAGATTCCATTCCAGCCGGATCCCACCCGCGCCCTTTTCCTGTCCAAGGGCGGAAATCCCACGGGAAATGCCCAAAAGGAAGCAAACCAGATGCCACCACCCAGAGACCTGGCGGCAGCACTGGCTCCAGCAGCAGCTCCTCACTGGGCCCTCCCAGCCAGCCTCCCCTTCAACAATAAACACTTTCCATCAGAATCACCACAAGCCTTTTCCACTTTAAGAGACTCCCCTGATTCAGCACAGTCCAAAATGCTCCTGGAGCGTGCCATGGCAGCCTTGGCTGAGGTGGGAGCAGACACAGAACACACCAGGCTTTCCCACATACCTGGGCAAGGGGGACCTGGTGGCACCTGCAGTGGTGCAGTGTCCCCTCCCCAGTCCTGGGCTCTGGGAGCAGGCACTGGTGTAGCACCAGGGGACATTTGGGACAGCCCAGAACCCCTATGAGCAAACATGCACAGAAGGAAGGGACATCATTTAGGGGGAGGGAAAGGGGCACAGGGACGTGATATTTAGGTTGGACATCAGGAAATGTTTTTTCATCCAGCAGGCGACTGAAAACTGGGATGGGCCCCCCAGGGACGTGGTGATGACCCCAAGGCTGCCAGAGCTCATAAAGCACTTGGACAACACTTTCAGGCAGATTATGAGATTCTTGGGGTATCTGTGCAGGGCCAGGAATTGGACTTACTGATCCTGATGGGTCCCTTCCAACTTAGCCTATTCTATGATTCCATGAGAGGGATGACAGCAGCACTGAAACACAGGGAACTCTGCCAGCAGGGAGATGTCCCCTGCCCTCCTGGCACCCAGGGCTCTTCAGGTTTGATTGCTGGGGGAGGAAGCCAAGCCCACAGTGATATGGTGATCAGTGAGCTGCATGAAGGCTGACTGGCACCACAGAGCTGAGACTGCATGAACAGAAGATAAAAAGTGGTCCAGCCTGACCACCCCCCCCCTCCCCAGCATCCCAGATTTTTGTCACCCAGCCCCATTCCCACATTGGAGCAAGCCTGGGGGCCAGCAACCCACTCCTGTCCATGCTGTGTTTTAAAACGCATTACTGGGGGCTGCCCTCCCCACAGCAGTGAGCTGGCAGCCCCAGAAAACAAGGGCAAGGGTGTCCCCACCCTGGCCACAGGACCCACCTGGCCCCAGGACAGGGGGCCAGAGCAGGGCAGAGTGATGGACTGCCAGCGAGCACAATTGGCTGTTTCCTGAGAAAGCGCAGCACATCAGAGGCACAAAAAGGGCAGTTCTGCCACTGGCCGTGCTCCCTGGGCCAGGGGCTGGGACAAAGACAGGGAAATGGCAAACGCTGAAGCCCCCACATCCTGCGGATGCTGGCAGGGCCCCACCACTGGCACCCCAAAAGCTGCAGCAATGCCTAGCTCTGCCCCGCAGTCTCCCAGGGGACACAGCCACGAGTTCCCGGCTCAGCACCGTACCCCTCCCTGCACCCAAGGATGAGAGGCACATCCAGGGCCGCTGGCACGAAGGTGCAGCCCAGTGTTTCCAGTGCTGCGTAGGAACACAGGCAGGCGCCCGGGATCCGAGGGGTGAGATGCTCCCTGCACGCCACTGGAGCCCCCCGCCCTCGCACAGCACAAGGAGCCTTTCAGAGCCACACAGACACAGCATTCTCCCGCTGCTGACCTCCCTGCCCTGGCATTTTTGGGACCCAGGCTCCACAGCAGCCAGCGATGGCGTTGGAGGCAGCAGCCTGAGGCCGGGGGATGCTCCCGGTCAGAGGGGCTGCCAGGGCCGCCCGTTCGCACCAGATGATGGCACTCATTGGCTGCAACACACTCGCTTTCCAGGCAAAGAACACTGAAAACAAGTGAAAGCAGCAACACAGGCTCCCCAAGGCTTTGTCCCTCTCCAGAAGGGAGCTCAGGGGAGCAGCCACCCTCCCCTCGCAATGAGGGGAGCACCAGCCTCAGAGGGGTTTCGATCAGGTTAAGGTGGGTTTGTTAAAGAAGGTGTTTGTAATCAGCAGCAGAACTCCTTCCAGACGAACAAAGTAATCACACTGCTCATCAGCTTTCTTTAGTGAACCAGACAGTTCTGGTTCCAGCATCTCTGATGGGACAGCCTTGGTCTCTCCAGAGACCAGTCTTCAGGATGCTCCAACACCCTTAAAGCCAGGGGTTGACCCAAGAGCTAAAAGGCTCAAGGCACCCCTCCACACGACAGAAGCCACAGCTGATAGCTCAGGAACCCACAGAGAGCCCAGGTGAGTCGCAGCGTGGGTTTAGAAACACCTATCCATCCCTAGAGGGGACGGAGCAGGAGACAACAAAATCCTGGCTTTAAAAGTAAGTCATTTATCCATCTCACATGGTCCCAGGGCCAATCCCACTCTGCTCACAAACAGGCACACACACCGACACACACCTCAGAGGCCAGCACAGCTCACCCGGTGCACGCTTTGCAAGGCAGGGATTTATCACCCACTGCAGCTCCATTTCTTTTGCAAAGCAGCACTTCCAAAGCAGGCAGGACGTGGGCTGTGCACAGGCACGGCCTCGCAGCCGCCATGGAAGGCTGCACAGGGCACAGACCCAGCTCAGATCACAGCAGCCGGCACATCCAGGGCTCTGCAGCCACCTGCCTGAACCGAGACAGCTGCTGCTGTCCTTGGCATCAATTCATCCTTCCTGCTTGTAGTGCTATTGCACTTACTGTCTTTTCCCAGGAGTGTCCTCAGGGAACATCCCCTCGGTTCGAGGGTATTCCAGCACTGCTGCCTGGGCCAGCCTCCCTCCTTCCCTCCATACTGTGGCCAGTTTTACTACCCCTTGTTCAGGGGCACAAGCCAAGCCTCGAGTGTGCTCCTTGATGGCAAAATGCAGCAGAGACAAGCTCAGCACAGAGCCCCTGACACCCGGAGGAGCAGAGGCAGCTCTGCACAGCCCCTCCAGCACAGACCGAGGGTCACTGCCCACTGCAGCCGGGGTACAGGAGGGAAGGGCACTGCAGAAGGGTCTGAGAGCAACTCGAGCCTACACTCAATGCCCCCCCGGCAGGTCGGTGACATCTCCCATATCTGCCCGACACTGCCCGATGATTCCCCCCTGCCACCCGGGAGCCAGCAGCGCCCTGCGCTCCGCCAGGCACCGCTGCCAGCTCCCACCCGGCTGCGGCAGCTCCTCCGGCAGAGCCGGTCTCCTTGAAGCCGCCTTCCGACAACAAAAGCCGAGCCGAAACCTCCGGGCTGGCTGGGGAGACCTGGGCGGCAGCCAGGAAGGGCAGGAGCCATTAACGCCGGCGTGTCCGGACTTGAGGGAATGACGGAGCAAGCAGAGCCATCTGCCCTCGCCGGAAACTCCGCAGACCGCTGGGCAGAGCGGCCCTTCACCGCGCTCCAGCCGTGCTCTAGCCCTCGCCAGCTGCGCGCATCGGGGCAATAAACCTGCGGCTGGGATGTTTTTTTGAGGCAAAATAGAAAAATAAAGCACGAGAACGAGGTGTCACTTGGGCGCGTATTCCAGCAGCCGCACAGATCCTCGGCGCAAGCAAACACACTCGGCTGCCGGCTCAGCGCTGACACCCCAAAGCGCGGGCAGTACCCCGGGAACGTCTCCCGACCCCCGGTGTCCCGGGGGGCAGCGCTGGCAGACCTCCCACACGTGGCCGTGTCTCTCCTCTGCGGCTTCCGAAGCGCCGGTCTCGGAGCCCGCTAGCGATTAAGTTCCATGGCCCTGGAGTTCAGCAGATCCCAGCCGCGCTGGGGGAAGGGGAGCGGGGGGGGCCCGGGAGGATCGGGGCAGCACCGGCCCCGCACCGGCTCTGCGGCAGCGACGACAGCCCGGCACCACAAACCGGCGGAGCTGGAGCGCGGGCACGGGGCTGGGCGGCGAGAGGGATACGACACTGTCCACCGAAAAACCCGGGGCGAGGGGGAAGGCGGGGGCATGACGGGGTGGGCGCGGGATCCCCAAAGCCGCGGGCGGGGAGCCGGGAGCCGGCGAGTTCGTATCCGCTCCGCCCGGAACGCGCCGCCGCTCCCCAGCAGGACGGCCCTGGGCGAACCGGGGCACCGGGAAGGCCGCGGGAAGCGCCGGGCGGGGACAGGCCACCCGGTCTCCCCGCCGAGCGGCGGAAGGTGCCGGAGCGGGCTGGCAGACGCACTCGGCGACGGGGAGAGGCGACTGGGAGCGGGGGGAGCCCGCGGCGGCTCCCGGGAAGGGCGGCAGTCCGCCGCCCAGGCACTCGCTGCAAACCCGCGGGAAGGGCCGCGCCGGGGCCCCGACGACCGGCTCGGTGCTTCCTCCCGCCCCGGTACCTACCAAGTGGATCGCGGCATTCCCTCCCCGACTCGGTGCCGCCTCCCGCCCCGATGCCGGTACCTACCGGCGGCCCGCGGGAGCCCCCCCGGCCCGCCCCGGCGCGCCCGCCCGCCCCGGTGCCGCCGGTACGTACCGGGGGCCCGCGGGAGCCTCCCTGCCGCTGCCCGGGCATCTTGGAGGCGCGGGGACACGGCGGCGGCGGCGGCGCGCGCGGGGCGGGCGGGGCGGGGCCGGTGCGAGCGCGCGGCCCCGCCCCCCGCCCCGCCCCGCCGCAGGTGAGGCCGCGGCGCCGGGAGCGCGCACGGGCCCGGCGGGAGCGCGCGGGGCGGGGGCACTGCCGTGGGACAGCGTGTGACCCGTGGGGACAGCGTGTGACCCGTGGGGACAGCGTGTGACCCGTGGGGATAGCGTGTGACCCGGGGGGACTGCCCGTGGGGACAGCGTGTGCCCCGTGGGGACACTGCGTGCCCCGTGGGGACTGCCCATGGGGACAGTGAGTGCCCCTGGGGACAGCGTGCGCCCCGTGGGGACTGCCCGTGGGGACAGCGAGTGCCCCGTGGGGACAACAAGTGCCCTGTAGGGACTGCCCGTGGGGACAGCGTGTGCCCCGTGGGGACTGCCCGTGGGGACAGTGTGTGACCCGTGGGGACAGCATCTGCCCCATGGGGACACTGCGTGCCCCTCAATGTGTGCCCCATGGGGACAGTGAATGCCCCGTGGGGACAGTGCGTGCCCCTGTGTGGTCGGGGCAGTGCGTGTTCCGTGGGCTGGGGACACTGTGTGCTCCATGGCATCGGACACTGTGTGTGTGCTCCCTCAGGCGGGGGACAGTGAATGTTCCTGTAGGGTGGGGGACACTCCCACCCTAGCATCGGGGACACTCTGTGCTCCTGCGGGCTTCGGGGCAGCGTGTGTCCCTGGGAGATGTGGGGAACTGCGTGTTCCATGCGATGGATGGCACCGTATGTCCGTGTGTTTATGGTGAGATTTGGTACCTTGACAGCCTTGGGTCTTTCAACACATTTATTTTTTTCAAAGTGAAAAATGAGTTAAATGGGCTTTTCACCACCTGATTCAGCATCACAAAGGGACGTCCCACCCAGCGTTCTCCATACAGCAAACCAGCTCTGGGTGAGGTTGGATTGTTGCGTGCAAAGTGCATATATATATATATATATGTATCCACAGCAATAACATCAAAGGGAAACATGGGAGGGGGAACCCAGAACTGTAATTTATTCCTTGGTAATATGGGGACATGTGGCACAGGTTATTTATATTTGAAGGCTGCCCTGAGTGTAAAATGAGCCGTCTTTTAAAAATAAACATGAGGGAAAATACACCCAAGCTCCTGGTGTGTCTGAAGGTGAGGCCAAGCTGCTGGCAGGTGCTGGAGGAGGTGCTGTGAGCCGGGAGCAGCAGGAGCCTCCTGCGTGCCCTGAGCGCCTTCATCCCTGCACACACACACAGAGGAATGGTGGTTGTTGGTCCAGGTGGACACTGAGCACACAGCAGCTGTCCTGCGGTGGCTCTCAGTGAGACAGGACAGATACAAGGCCACTGAGCAGCCAAGGCTGCCACCACCACCATGGCTGGCCTGGTTCTCACCTGGTTCACTGTGCAGAGGGATCACAAATGCTTGCTTCCAGCAGGGTCTGACAACAGGGGGGTTAATATGCACCATGTTGTTTGCATTATAAACCCCATCTCTGATTTTCTAGCAGCGAAAGCACAGCACAGGCAGCTGTGGCCAAATCACAGACTCTAGAGCTGTCCTGGGACCAGCCTTTGTCTCTGTACCTGTGCAGAGCAATGTGAGGTGAATGAACAGCCTGACCAGGGTCCCATCCTCTGACCCTTGGACAGGCAGGAAATTAAAGCCACTTTTCCAAATTTAGAGCCACCAGTAGCCCACAGCAGGTAGCCATGGGTGGGTTCAGGCTCTGAGCAGAGCTGGGGCTGTGGCTGAGCAACAGCAGAGATGTGCAGCCCCCAGACATGGCACATTAGGCTGCAGGGAACTGAGACCAGTGAAAACGAGCAGATGGCTGGAGGTCACAACAGCGTCCCACCACCAAGGGTCTCTGGGTGACAACCTGACTGCCCAGCACTCACTGCAGTGCTGGAGTGCAGATACCAGTGGCAGCTCAGTTCTGATCTCCAAGAGCCTCAGCCTTCCTCCCACAGCAGGGACACAAAGCCCAGGTGTGTGGTGGCCAGCTCCACAGTGTGCCCATGTCCCTCTAGCTCCAGTGCCAGCCTCACCGCAGAATGAGCAGGGCCAGGGAGCACAAGGGCCAGGAGCAGCTGCAGGGGTGGCACAGCAGAGATCAGTCTCAGTGTCTCCTCTGCACCCTGGGAGCCAGCTCGTGGGGCTGGAGCAGCTGCTGGGATGCCACAGTGGAGATCAGCCCCTGTGCCTCCCCTGCTCTGCAGGATCTGGCTGTTGCTGGCACTCCCAAGCTGAGGGGCTGTGGTGGATGTGCACAGCTGTGGCTCCAGCTGCTGAACAGACCCAATGCCAAGGCCCAGAGTGGGCTGGCACCCACCAGACCATAGCTCAGAGACACAGTATGTTTAAGTCCCTCAGTTTTCCTCATGGATCACTGCAGATGCCAGCCTCCCTCGAGGCGTGATGGGCACTGGATTAGCTGGGATCCTGCATTAATCGGCAGAGTGGCAGAGGTGACCTTGGGCAAATATTTACAATTACTGTGGTGTCATGTCTGTGCATGTACTCAAAACACAGAAGGGGTAGGGTTCAAATGGCACTTTAATGAGCTGCAGGGCAGCAGGAGGGTAGAATTCCTCACGCTGATGTGCTGAGCAGTCCAGGGTGGGGAGATCATCTCCATCTGCCCACAAAGGCGTGTCAGTGTCGGAGTGGTGAGTGCTCAGCAGCCCTTCTAGGATCTGTGCATTTTGAACAAGGGACCATCTCGGTTTCTGCATCACACGGCTGTGAGCATGTTGCTTGGAGTCGGGGAATTGGGATTTTCCTGCCCAAGGCTGCTCTGCACTCACATCCACATTGCACAGACAGGAATGGAAACACTCGAGTTGTGCCGTGTGCCTGGGATGCCGATTGACTAAATAACACTAGGTTATAAAGCAGGGTTCCCCCTTGAAAATTTGTGCTTCTAGTGGAAAGCGCAGAGGAAAAAAATCCTTTGAAGTTCTGCATCCCTCTTCCCACTCCTTCTGAAGAGCAGGCAGCCAGTGTGGAGACGAGCAGGGCTTGATGGATGAATTACCCCAGAAGAATTTCTTCTCGATTCTTTCCTACATTTTGATGATTTCATTTCTGCAGCTCTCATTAGCACCTCCTTTATCCCCAGTTCTTCCCCAAAGGCATTCTGCTCTCGCTCCCTCCTGCTGCGGAGGGAGCGGCAGAGCAGGGATAGCAGTGGATGCTGTGCACCACCTCATGTTGAGGCCTGGAATTTCAGAGCCTGAGACGAGCTCCAGCTCTCTCCCATGGCGAGGGAGGTGGAGTACTCATCTGCCCCAGAATTTACTCTGCTGGATAAGAGCGATGCCTCATCTTCACACAAGGGCTCAGTGGCAGCGTTAAGACCTTTGTTAAGGCCCCGTGGTCTGACAGACCTGCCGAAGCCCCAGAAGGCAGATGAGCTTCCCCACAGGCTCTCAGGGCTGATTATTGAAGAGGAAATCTGTTTTCCCAAGTCTGCACTTTTCTGCATTCAGACCAAGCCTGTATGCTCCCCCAATCCAGTACAGCTCTTTCAGAAGGCTCACAGGATTTTTGTGTCACCCTGTTTGTGAGCAATCCCCCACTCTGCCTCCCCTCCCCAGGACCCTCAAGAGGGAAAGGAGGCAGGCTTTAACAGGTGAGAACGATCCAGCCAGGTTTTCAGCCATCTCCTGCACATCTCTGTACTGCCAATGCCATTTCCACTCCCTCATGCTGGAGCTCAGCAGCAGATTTGCTCACAAAGTCCTGTTGTGCCAAGGAAAAGGCTCCTGAGTTCCTCAGATCAGGCAGAGGGATGAGATGCTGGCTGTACTTTTCCCTGGCATCCTTGGGCTGTGGGTCCCCGCTGTCACATATTCATGTTGGAAAAACAGGCCTGGTGCTTGTGGAGCTCAGGGGTCAGTGTTACACCGCTGTAATTCTGCATTCTGCACAACATCCCACGTGCAGAGCCAGCTGTGCTGGCCTGAGCTGCACCAGCCCGAGGATGGGAGAGGGGCCCAAGCCCCTCCAGCCTGGCACCCAAGTGTCGTGGTGGGCAGAGGTGATGGAGTGCCATAACCTTCCCAAAGCAGTGTCTTTAAAAATGTGTTCTGGGTGCACAAGTGAGTGATTTCAGCCATGAGCAATGCAGAAGGAAGGGACAGAGTCTTTGTATGGGGTGACACAGAGGGTCTCTATTGAGCTCCTACCACAAAGGGGTCCAGGCACCCAGAACTTGCTTGGGCAGAGAGAGCAGGGGTTTGTACAGAGATTAGTGATGGGCAGGGCAGAACATCAGAATATTGTAAACGCAGGTGAACCCAATGGGAAGAAATGACGATGTCTGACTCAATTCAAAAGGCTGAAAGATTTCTTTATTATAACTATGCTAAAATACATTAATATACTATATAAAAAGGAAGACAGTAAAACTACATACCACTTTCTCTATCTCTAACACAACTTGTGATCCTCTCTGAGACTCCAGCCACAGGTGGATTGGATTGGCCATCAGGCTCAAACAATCCTCACCAGAATCCAACCAAGCACTCACTCCAGGTAAACAATTCTCCAAACACATTCCACATAGGAAAAACAAGGAGCAGAAATAGAAATTGTTTTCTCTTTCATTTCTCTCTGTGCACCTCTGTTGAAATCCTGAGAGGGAGAGAAATGTGCTTGTCACATCAGAACAAATGGGATGAGGGCCCAGGAGCAGAACTGAGGGGAAGGGCCCATGGGATACATGGAATCAACACATGGCAACAATGCAATCTGGGGGATGCCTTTTCCCTCACCATGACCTGAGGTTCTTGCTTAAGGGTTGTCCCTCCAGGGGAGGGGGGTAAACTTGTTCCCAGCCAGTTTACTGGCCTCCATACCCAGGGACATGATTTTGACCCCTAAACAATCAATTAAGTAGGAAATAAAACAAGAAGGAAGTACAGCAGTAACTCCCAAGGTTGTGCACTGCAGAGCACAGCACTGCACTCAGCGGGACATGCACTGCAAGGAGCAGGG